TAGTTCTAGTTTACTGCGGCGTCTTACGACATGTGTAGATTAGATTTTTCATAGTTACGTTCATGGTAAGATCGAGTCATATTTTCAATTCTGTACAAATTTGTATCCGTTGTTATAATGGCCGGGTTATAAATTTGTATTTACAGTCAATTTCCATTTCAAATTTGTATCCCGTCTCTCTAAGTTATAATATTTGTGACTTTGCATTATTCACCTACTGAGTATTTTATTTTGATTTTCAAAATTTGAATTTTTAATTTTTGTTAATAAGGAATGAAAAATGTTAATGGTTAAATTTTTGTATATACCTAGTTGAATGTCCATTTTATGACTTCGGCAAAATAATCATAAGCCATTATTGTAAAATTGACCGAGTTTTCTACGAATATAATTGTAACAGTTCCGTTGTTACTAGTATTCCAAGACTATCATACTAGGCCGGAATGGCCATGTTGTTAATGTTGGGCACTAGCGTAAATGTAGTGAAATTTTAGGATTGGCACAACAAATATTTAATCACTCAATTTAAAAATACGCAGACGGAACAATGCCTTATACTTTTGGGTATTGTTTATTCTCTCAAATAAGAAAACACACAGCACATGCACATTCTTATTTTCCTTCTCTGTATGCCATTTCTTGCTGCACACTAAGCATCTTAGGTACACATAACACACACATACACCGGTACAATGATATAATTGCTATATATCTACTACCTCCGTAACATATATATCTTCCTATTTGAAAAGTAGGTGAGATTAAGAATAGTGAAAGGAGATATAAATTATTGAGGGTATGATGGGAAGATAATGAAATAGTGTGCTGGAATAAAGGTGATAGAGTATAACCTCTTACACAAGAGCGTAAGGATTTACACACTCATCGGTTGAGAAAACTTGTTCTAGATTGTTATAGCTCTCGTTTAGGTTAGAATAGCTGAAGGGAGTTTCCACCTCTGGGTTCTTTCTCTTATCGTCTTCTTCTTTAGTACATTCTTCTTCAACGGTATACTCCATTTTGTCAAAGTATTCTTTTCTAATGTAATTTAAGTCATAAAGTTGAATGCAATCAACTTTCTTTAAATAACATGGATTAAACATGCCAAGTCCGGATCTAGGATTGTAATACCGGTCATCACTAATTTGATTAAGAAAAATAGTTTGTTCTGATTGACCTCTTCTAGCAATCAGATCCTCAAGTTCTTTGATTTTACTGAAAAGAGTATTTCTTTGATTATGAAGACAGTTTTTGTCAGCCTTTTCTGTACCTAGCTCTATCTCAGTTTGAAACACTTTATCTGTAAGATCAGCAACTTTGAGTGTGAGCACATCAATTTCAAATGTCATCTTTTTGGCAACTTCCTTTTCATTTTCAAGCTGTATGCTTAAGGAGGTTTTCTGGTCAAGACACATAACTAATTCTTTGTAGTTATTGTCTAACTTCTCCCTTAGGTCATTGATTGTGTCAACCTTATATTGTAAGTATTGACTTTGATTTGAGCAGGAACACTGAGAATCAGAGGTACTTACAGTGGTGTTTGAGCTTTCATTGTCGGGATCGCAACATCACCATTTTCTTCTTCTTCATCCTCTAACAACGCCATCAGTGCGTAGTTCTCATCTTCTTCCTCATCATGAATCATCTGCCCAATGATCTTTCTCTGCAAGCAAAGCTGCATTCTCTTCTTCCTTTTGAGCCAACAACATCTTCTGTTTGTTCCATATCATCTTCTGTTTATAGAAGTTGACGTCCCTTTTCTTGGGTAGGCGACGATCTTTCTGAAGATGTCCAGGCTTCCCATAACGACTCTTAAACCCAGCTTTTCGGTAGAAATGCCAAAGAATCCCACACCGGTGGGCTAGGAGAGTCTTTGGTACCTTATAAGGCCTAGGCTCTCCACCACTATTGACACATTTTAAATCCGTGAGGGGCAACCCAAAGCGGACAATATCGGTAGTCTGCCTCCCGACTGTGGGATCGATCCTTCACTTATGGCTAATTCCGACGAGGAATCCGACCAAGAGAACTTTGAGGTAAATTTAGAAAACGTTCTATCTAAGTTTGATTCCTTGCCTAAAACCAAACTTCGGAATTTTTTTAAAAGGCCAACTATCGAGCTTAATCAAAACCTTTCTGAAAATGAGTACCTAAAATCGCGAATCACTGAGCTTGAATCTAAACTCAAGGAAACCACACGAGCAAAGCTTAAGCTTGAAACTAAAGTGAGAGACTTAATAGATGAAAAGCTTAAATATAGTGAAGTGGTTTTAGAACAATATAATATTATATGTTCTTCAAAGCTCGATAGCGTGAACCAACAAGTGAATCATAGTGAGAAACTTCTTTCAAAAATTCCGAACATTGGTGTACTGATTGAACACCTTAATCGCCTTGAGGACGAGAGACAAGATTTCAAAAATAAACCGGAATACCAGCTGTATAGTACCAAGAACAGAACCAGGTTTAGACCTCATTCTAGAACTGAACCTTCTCAGTACAAGAAAAAGGAAAACGAGATTGCTGGTCTCGGATATGTTCCAAGGGAAGCTCAAATAAATAAAAAAACCTAATTTTCAGAACCAATTCTTTAATGATAACAGAACTAGAGGACAAATCAGTTCTAGGTCATACCCAAGTGAATCTAGAACTGGACCAACCTGGTTCGATAAATTGGTTCAAAAGCACAAAACTGATTATGGACAAACACCTAACCGAGAATCTTATAAAAAGAACAAAAGGTTTTTATAAAACTTGGAAGACCAAAAACAGTGATACGTATGATAGCCGAATTTGCGGGTACTGTGGCAAAGTCGGTCATTTATGGTATCAATCTCACTCTCGGCAAGAGGCCTTAGAAATGAATCTTAATTATAGTAAATGTTCCTCAAACCAATACAAAATGGAACCCAAGCAGGTCTGGGTTCCACACACTAAACCTTAATCATGGAACAACGCCGAGTGAGGGGGGACAATCTTTATTTTTCTCACTGCGACCATTTAGCGGTGGAAAGGTGACATATCGAGACAACGGTAAAGGAGAGATAATCACCGTGGGAAAAGTTGGAAAGTCGCCTAACCATGCAATAGACAATGTTTTTCTAGTCAAGGGCTTAAAGTTTAATTTGATAAATATCTCTCAATTTTGTGATCGAGGTAATAGTGTTGTTTTTTATCATAATGTATGTCGCATTGTAAATAACGAATCATAGCAAGTCATACTAGAAGGCAAGAGACTAGAAAATGTCTATAAGGTTGACCTTGATTTGTTGCCAAACATAAGTCTAACTTGCCTAAGCGTTATTGACAATGATCTCCTACTATGGCATAAAAGGCTTGGACACGCTAGTTTTTCATTAATGAATAAACTCAAAAATAATGATTTGGTAGTTGGGCTACCTACAATAAAATATTCACTTGACCATATTTTCTCCGCTTGTGCCACCGGAAAACAATCTCGATCATCTTTTAAAACAAAGAATTTTGTGAGCACAAGCAAGCCCATAGAACTAATTCATATGGATTTGTGTGGTCCAATGTCAGTCCGAAGTCGGGGAAACAAAGAATATGTTTTAGTTATTGTTGATGACTTTTCACGATACACTTGGACTATCTTTCTTGCAAGCAAGAAAGATACATTTAATGAGTTTGTTATTTTTGTAAGGAAAGTTGAGCATTAAACAGGACTACAATTGATTAAGATCGGATCGGATCATGGAACTGAGTTTGACAACTCACTCTTTGATACATTATGTAAGGAACGAGGCATAGACCATAATTTCTCTGCCCCTAGAACTCCCCAACAAAACGGGGTTGTAGAACGCAAGAATAGAACATTGGAGGACATGACTAGAACAATGCTGATTTCCAGTGGCCTAGTCAGAAACTTTTGGACAGAAGCTCTAAACACAGCATGCTACATCATTAATAGAGCCATGATCCGTCCACTCCTTGGGAAAACTCCCTACGAACTACTCAAAGGGAGGAAGCCCAACATTTAGCCATCTAAGAACATTTGGATGCAAATGTTTCGCTCACAATAATGGGAAGGACAATATTGGAAAATTCGATACAAGAAGTGACGAGGCAATCTTCCTTGGATACTCTACTCATAGCAAAGCCTACAAAGTTCTAAACAAACGCACACAATGTGTGGAAGAAAGTATCCATGTAATTTTTTATGAAGCCCTTTCATTAAAACCAAGACTAGATGACGATGGAGAAATCAAAATCTCACACAAAGAAAAACAGCCTCAATAAAACGATAGAACAGATCCTAATCAATTTGAGGAACCACCACTGGATAATCAACAAGCCGAGTCTTGAACTGAAGAAGAACCTGGAGGGTCTACAACCAGTCAAATCGAAGAACCAGAATCTACAGTTCCAGATACCTTATACGATTTGATTGATCAACCAAACGCTCCAAGAGGATGGAAGTTTCATCGGTCACACCCCCTGGATAACCTCCTAACAGAACTAAATCAGGGAGTAACAACTAGATCTAAACTTAGAAATTTATGTGCCTTCTTTGCTTATTTATCACTCATAGAACCGGAGAACCATGAAGTGGCTCTCTCCGATGCTGACTGAGTTCTAGCTATACAGGAAGAACTGAATCAGTTTGAGAGGAACAAGGTATGGCATCTAGAACCGAGACCGAGAAACAAAACCGTGATAGATCTCAAATGGATATTTAAGAACAAGCTTGATGAACATGGACAAATCACAAGGAACAAGGTGAGGCTTGTTGTAAAAGGCTATAACCAACAAGAAGGAATAGATTTCAACGAAACATTTGCACCAGCGGGAAGATTAGAGGCAATACGAATGCTCATAGCATTTGCGGCTCACATGGGATTCACACTCCATCAAATGGATGTGAAAACGACCTTCTTAAATGGTTATCTTAAGGAAGAGGTATATGTAGAACAACCACCGGGGTTTGAAAATCTAGATCTTCCTAATCACGTTTTTAAATTAGATAAAGCACTTTATGGTCTCAAACAAGCACCCCGTGCTTGGTATGAACGACTGTCTAAATTTCTTTTGGAAAATGATTTTGAAAGAGGAAAAATATATAAAACTCGTTTTCTAAAAATAAAGAATCAAGCCCTTTTGGTCGCTCAAATTTATGTTGATGATATTATATTTGGTGTTACTAATGATTCTCTTTGTGATGAATTTTTTTCTCTTATGAGCTCCGAGTTCGAAATGAGTATGATGGGAGAACTAAATTTTTTCCTTGGTCTACAAATCAAACAAACAAGCAAAGGAACCCGAATATCCCAACAAAAGTATCTTAAGGAACTACTCAAGAAGTATGGAGCAAGTGAAAGCAAAACAATGACAACGCCCATGGGGACAATTGACAGGCTGGATGCAGATGAAAAGGGAACAAGCATAGACCAAAAGATGTACCGAGGAATGATCAGGTCCCTACTATACCTAACTGCCAGTAGACCTGCCATTGTTTTTAGTGTAGGTCTATGTGCTCGGTTCCGGGCCAATCCCAAGGAGTCACACCTCAAAGCAGTCAAGAGGATGCTCAAATACCTCAAAGGAACTATGGGTTTATGCTTATGGTATCCACGTAATGAGGATTTTAATCTTATTGCATATTCAGACTCTGATTTTGCAGGTGACTTACTAAATAGGAAAAGCACATCTGGAACAGCTTACTCTCTAGGCCCTTGCTTGGTTTCGTGGAGTTCTAAGAAACAAAATTCAGTTGCTCTTTCAACGGCCGAAGCTGAATACGTAGCAGCCGCATCATGCTGTTCCCAATCACTGTGGATCATGCAATAAGTAAGCAACTACGGAATTGCCTTAAATTGCACGCCAATTCTATGTGACAATACTAGTGCAATTAGCATCTCAAAAGATCCGGTCATGCATTCTCGGACAAAACATATCCATATCCGTCACCATTTTCTGAGAGATTGCGTGGAGAAGGGGCTAATCACATTGATATATTGTAATACCGACAAGCAAATCACCGACATCTTTACAAAGCCCCTGAGAAGAGAAAGGTTTGAATTAATTAGACTTGAACTTGGTCTAATTAATGCTTGAATTATTTGCCTTACTTTTACAGCATAAAACTATCTAATTGATTACCTATTTTCTTTATTTTCTTTACCGATTAAAGTTCATGTCTTTTGAATTTCGTTTATACATATAGGTAAATTTATTGGGAAGGGAAATAAATCTTTTGAGTTAATGATCATATTCTGAAAAGTGAAGAAAATCTTGTGATCCGACTTCCCATAATCGGCGCCCAATATTCGCATTAACCACCTTCCAAATCTTCTCACCTTCCATCTGCTCCCACCATGGTTAAAATGAGAGGAAGCGCTCCCCCAACCGCACTCCGTCGCTCAAGTAGAAACCGCCAATCTCAGAAAATACTCTCTTCCTCTTCGGTCCACATCAATTTGGAACCTACTTCACCTATAAATGGAGCCAAGCCCCTCCATCTCCGCTACAGCCGGTCCGTCATCCCCAAAGTCTCCAATGACCGAAGAAAACAAATCCTGTTCATCTCAGGGGGAACGAGAAGCAAGCCCACTCCCTCCTTCTAAACCATTAACTCGCGAAGGGAAAGTTCTGCCACGGAAGTACACCCGGAAAAGGGCCATCGCCGAGGGCATCATCTCTAAAAAATGCTCCACCAAAAAACATCCAAAAATGGGGAAAGTTGTAGACGAAGATGCTCTTCACCTAAAACAGACCTACCTGGAACGTGGACTCGTTAAGATAATTGCTATTCCCTTGGATGAATTCTCCTCCCAGACCATTGAGTTTGTTGAGTTAATCACTTTTCAAAAATGGAGCTTTCTATTTGATTCCAAAAATTGTTGTCAAGTTTCCTCCGAAATTCTCTTTGAATTCCTTGCTAAATTAATCATCATGAAGGGCGTCCTGGTCTCCCGTGTCAATAATATCAAGTTACGCCTTGACAGTGAGGATTTAGGCAAGTGTCTAGATGTTCCATCCGCTGGGGTCTGTCCCTATGACAAAAACGAATGGCCACTCTCTACAGTTTCTCAAACAGAAGCTTTAAGATTTTTTGATCCCTCAGTTACTGGATCCTCTTTGCAAGTAGGCAGCTTGTCCCCCATCCACAAATTACTTTTCTACTTTGTTCACTCTAACTTGGTGCCCAGACTTGAAGGAAGACAGACCACGTTTCGTCTAGAACTAGGCTACATGTATCTTCTTGCCAGAAAGACTCATATTAATCTCCCTGGTCTTATCATTGCACATCTGAAGTTTGTTATCGGTGACTCCAGTAGGAGAATAGGAATCCCTTTTGGTCCTATTCTTATGAAACTTTTTATCAAAAAAGAAATTTCTGTTGATAGCCTCTCTTCCCAAATCATTCACAAATCTCTTGACAACTGAGGCCTACAGAACTATGGTATCACCATCCAAGACTCCAAACTGATTTACAGAGAAAATGTTGTCCCTACTCCTGCTAAACCTCCCAAAAACAGTTCCAAACCTTGTCCCGTTGCCTCCTTAGATCCTATGCAGTATGTGCTCTTAGTCAAGGACCAACTCTACCTAATGGAGCGCACTATACTTCACCGTTTTGACTCTATCTCGGAAACCCTCACTAGCTTGGCTGGTAGGGTGGATCAGCTAGTAGAGGCTACGAGAATCATCAGGAGTGAGCTTCTTCAAGCCTTTAAAATTGATGTTTTCGAGAAGCTCAGCACTAGTGGCGGTGGCATGGGACGAAGGATTGTGTCCTCATCGGATGAGGAGTAACTAAAAACACTGTTAAAACACTTTTACTTTTCTGGGTAGGAGGGTGCTACTTTGATTACCTTTGGCATTGTTTTGATTATTTTCCGTTTCCTTTTGGTTGATGCCAAAAGGGGGAAATAATCAGGTGCCTCCATTTTTCTGCTACACTTAAACTGCTACTGCTATATTTTGTCTAATCTGCAGGATATTTTGGCACCTAAGGTTTGTCATCAACAAAAGGGGGAATTTGTTGAATATTTAATTTTGTTGATGTCTAAACCCCTCACAGGAACAAGGAATGGAACTATCTTATGGTCCAAACAGACATTTATGATTGTACGACTAACCATGTAGGTGGACCAAAGGGTAGAACTCCCATCTGTCCAAAATATGGAAACTATGTTTAGGTCTATGAATATTATTAGCATGAATAATGATGAATGCGTACATGACAAATCTATGCCCTAATATTCTTGATACTATGTGACTTAATTGAAATCTCTTTCCATGCATGTTTAATCACTCACGTTAATAAGTTGACCAATATGGCTTGATTGCTTATGGAAAGGATCATTGCTTTTACTATATAAGAATTCTGCGGCCTTTAGCTTATTTTGAATATGTTAAATTTTAAACAAATATCTTTTTAAGGGATCTTGGAATAAGGAAAGGATTTGTTGCATGTTTAAGTATGTTAAGAATGATTGCTAATTGAATGATTGATCGTGCATAGTTATGGTTAAAACGTGAAATCTCTTAATATATGATATAATAAACAAGTTTAGTGGTTGTCGCCTATGCATAATACTCTTCCTTGCTTATACGGATATTTAATATTGAGAGCATATCTTTGCACAAATAATCTAAGCCATGAAAGGAAAGTAATTCAAAATATCAAGGCACGACCCAAAATTAGAAGGACACCTATTCAAGGAAGGATGCTCAACGGCCTCCCTCAAGACAATTATATATAGGCCTGAAGATCAAGAGAAAGTGTGTGCTTGTGAGAGTAATCAAAAGCAGAAAGACTTACGAAGAGTTATCAAGTTCAAGGCACTTGAACCTACGCACGAAGTTCTAGATAGAGTTTCTTTTCCCTTCTTTATCTTGTAACTTGGTTTTCGAGGAAAAGCTAAGAGTAGCTTCCTCGGTTTGGGATCGTGTGTGTGAGAGCTTTGTTGTAAAGCTGAGAGGCTCTCTACCCGCAAGGTAGAAATGCATAACTCTTCCTAGAGAGGATAGAGTTGGGGTGGCTCAAGGGTAGATTAGGAGAATTTACCTTGCAACCACAAATTGACTATTTAGTGAAGTTGTTCAAATTCCTCCAAGGGAGGTTGAGGTTTTTTAATCCCTATGAGCCAAAGGATTTTTCCTCGTTAAATTCTTGTGTATTTACTATTTCGCATTTCCCTACATCCACACTAGAACTGTAGAGAGAAACTGCCACAGTTCCACAGAAATACAATTCACTCCCACTACAAAAAAACTCGCGTGTTGTCACGGATTTTTGTCACGGATTACGGCCGTGACAAAGTTGTCACGGGCTTTGTCACGGAATATTGGGTTTTGTCACGAAAATGTGTTGTCACGGATAGGTCCGTGACAAAATCCGTGACAAAATATGGTCACGGATTCGGTCCGTGACAAATTTACTCCGGCGACCGATTTTTTACTCCGGCGAAAACTTTTTTTGCTCCCGGCATTTGTCACGGACAGATCCGTGACAAATCCGTGACAAATTTCAAAAAAACTTTGTCACGGATCCATCCGTGACAAAATCCGTGACAAACTTCAATTATTGATTTTCCAGCGGTAACCTTTAATAATACAGTACGAAAAAGGGGTTGTCACGGATAAATCCGTGAGAAATCCGTGACAATTTTTTTTATATAACCCAACCCCATCGTCCATTACAATTGCAAGAACAACACTTATCAGTTCAAAAATTCGTAGATTCGAGTGATGTAGTATCGGTTTAAAGATTGAATGATGTAATCCGTCAGTTCATCATTTTCCCAGTTTATGCAGATAAGGTATGTCATTTTAACTAATTTCTTTTAATTATGTAATAAATTATTAGCTTAGTGAGGTTAGTTGTTCATTTATTTAAACTATTAACGTAATTTAGTGAGGTCATGTTAATTTTCATGTTATTAACAATATATTATTAAACTATTAACGTAATTTAATTAGTTAAATTTAAATATAAATATTAATTAGTTAATTAAAATGAGTTTATATCACCAATGATTAGGCCGGTTTGTTTATTGGCAATTATTGTTATTAATGCCTAATTTAGGATGTGTAGTGATTTAAGTATTAGCTAGCTTATTATAGATTAATTAATTAGTGACTTGTAGTGATTTAATTAAGTTAGCTAGCTTAGGTTATTATCACCAATTATTGTTTATTAGCAATTATTGTTAATGGGATGCATAATATAGGATTGAAACTTTATTATTAATTAGTTTAGTGTGAATTATTATTGTGAATTAATGAGATAATATTTAACAATAATATTAGTTAAATGTAAATTAATTAACTAAGTTAAAACATTGAGGAAATGGGTTTAGAATTTGAGTTGATAATATTAGTTAGATTTAAATATTAGTTAATTGAAATGGGTTTATAACCAATGATGATGATTAGGTTTAATTTGTTTATTAGCAATAATTATTTTTAATGCATAATTTAGGATTTGTAGTGATTTAAGTTAGGATTCAAACTTTATTAGTTAAGTGTGAATTATATATTATTGTGAATTAATGATATTTAACAATATTAGTTAAATGGAAATTAACTAATTATTAAGTTAAATTAGTTAACTTTAGTATTGTGAATAAATGCCATTAACGTAATAACTTTAATTAGTATTATATGTTAGTTAATTATTTAATGTGTACTATTAGATTTTCATAATTTTAGTATTGTGAATAAATGCCATTAACGTAATAATTTAGTGTGTTTGGTGCACAAATTCTAATATTGTGAATTAGTTAATAATTAAAACGATTAATGCCATTAACATATTACTATTAGTTAATTAGTAATTTTAATTGAACGTTAGTTAATTTTAGTGAACTTTATATTAGTAAATTATTAATTCCGGCCAGCTTAAATTTTTAATATTAGTTAGTTTAGTGAACTTACTAAAATATATGTTTAAAATATTATAGTAGTAAATTATTTAAATTCCGGCCAATATATTAACATCTTTAATATATTCTAAGTTCACTAAGTTCAACCGAGCTAGCTTAGGTTGTATTGATTTTAGTGAACATTATATTAGTAAATTATTAATTCCGGCCATTAACATATTAATTTTAGTGAAATTTAACACATTAATGTTTCTAAATATGAATTAGTCATGATTGAAAAGTTGGTTAATTTAAATTATTAATGCCACAAATAATGTACTGCTTTTAGTTAATTAATAATATTAATTGAACGTTACTTAATGTACTTATATAATATTTTGATTATAATATATATACATGCATAATGTATAGACAAAACAGAAGTTG